GGTAACACTAAAAATCCAATTAAAATTGAAAATATAACCGTTATTGGGTCCCACCAGTCTAATAAAAGTCAACAATAACGACTAATTTTTCAATTTTAATCCGATTTTAATCTCTACCAAACACACTCTAAAACAATCTCCAATTCGAGTAAACCCTTCAACCCAATCGCTTTCAAGTTGCTATGAAACGATATGGACCCCTTTTCTTTCTTCAAGTAAAACCTTGTACCCGATCTCATTGCGAAATTACAGTGAAGTGGATAATCCTTTTCCAATTTTTAATTCACAACAATTTCTCGGACTTTGTTTTATGGAGGCATTATGCTACTTGTACATAAAAATAGTACACAAAAGATTACAAAAAATGACGTGGAGGGAAAAATCGGATGAAAAAGTTCACTATGTTTTAAACTAACAAATGGTAAAATATCATGTGACATTATGTATATGTAGTAAGATCCTTATTTTATTCATTATTTTTATCTACCAACGCACAAATTTTCCTTATTGATTTGCATGTTCCCGTTCCCTGATATTGCTTTAGGCGTTGTACTGTGGTAAATATACTTAGATTTTAATTTGCATTCAAGTTCACACACTCTCATGCAGCTATAGTTGATAAATGATCGTGTCACTTAATTCTGAAAAACCTGCAAATATTAGACATACTCAGGATCGACACCAAAATAATGTCACAAGCTTATATATTCCCAATGTTCTCAAGGTACAGAGAAGAAATGCTGAAATCAACTGAAGCAAATCATCCATATCATCCTTCACTATGTAACTTAACACAACAAATACACTGCATAAAACCAACGGTCATATGACAAACATGGACACCATTCAGTTCAGCAAGCTGCAACTGAATTTGCCATCAGATAGAATCAGCTTCTCCGCTTTTGTGATGGCATCCAGTGGAAGAGGACTAAAACTTCGAGATGGGCCATAGAAATGAGGGAAACAATTGGAGTTTCCAACAGCTTCATAAACCAATCCTTTTCCGTGCTGCAACGACAATGAATGCAATCAGGATATTGAAAATGATCATTGTTAGACCAGTGGTGAAGCCACACTAGCATGAAGGGAGCCATCATAGACAATTTGGGCATTTCTCAACTCATGTAGAAATGCTTAAAGAAAGACTACAATTTCTGATACAGCATATAGGTATATAGCTTCTCGTAATGCAAATCCTAAATTATGACTAGTCCAGATAATTAGAGAGACTTGCATGCAGCTATAATGCTATATGGTTCAGCAGTTTATGGTATTACCTTTACAACCTTGCTACTTGTACAAAAAAAGTTTGACAAAAAATTTGACAAACCCTCACAATGTGGGGGGCCCACTTTTTATTTTCAATTTTTTATTCACGTGGGGCCGACAATCATGTGAGGGTTTATCAACCTTTTTTTGTACAATTAGCTTTTTTCTTACCTTTACTGCAGCAACTTGGAGTAGGTACAAATCTCCCTTGACATTCAGGAAAAAGTTCTGTAAAGTCGATGGGACCTACAATTTAGAAATGTTATAAATTACAAGTTATTTTGAACTATAAAATAGAGGATATGATACAATGATATCAAATAGATTATCATAGAAGGGAAAAACAAATCTGATTGTTAATTGACCAAGAAATATATCCATGAATTTATTGCAGCATGACAAAAAAAAATTCTGATCGTTTGCCGAAAATCATTATGCACAAACTCTGTGATTGAACTGACTAACAATTGCTAATTAAGAAACAGGCTACCTCATCATACCAATTAAAGAGGAACAAACAACTAAGCCGTCAATAGGTTAATAAGCTGAAGCCTAAGAGTTGAGAAACTAATTTCGAGAGTAGATATATAATTAATGAGAAGTGAATACTTTGTTATGTCATGCTTTAGTTGTAGATGTCGTATTCTGAGGTAGATCAAGAACTGGTAGCCTATTTTACAAGTAATTCACTTGTAGGTCAAAAGCAAGATATTAGAAAGGAACAAGAAAAACAACAGTGTGTCTGATAATAAAAAGATTGGTTAACTAGATCTGGTTTTCAGTTTGAGCTATATACTATAACGTCATAAGCTTGAGCTCTATTTGAATACCATACAACATTGATGCTATCTTTCTAGACCGCGCCCACTTTTTTAGTATTCTGCTTATCCTGCATGAGCTGTCAAATGCCGATTTCGAAAATGAAACAGAACATTAAAATGATTCGTGATTTCATGCTCAATGTTCTCTGTATCAGCAATCTTTTAACACTACAGCAAATTTAATCTATCATAAACTTGTGCTGCTATCTGAAATAACGAAATTTATCCCAATGCTGTGGAAGAATTAATGAAACAGAAGATCCAAGAGCAAATAAACTCCTCCATTCCCAATTGTCATAATTTAAAACTAAAAATTCCAGATAACGTGAAATTTAGGTTATCACTTTGACGAACTGAGTCCAATTATTGTTTTTATGATAGAGAAAGTGGAAGACACCTGGTGAAGCCTGCTAAGATGGATACAACCAGTTGATTTGTCGATATCTCCACCAAATGTAGCTTCGCTTCTCTGAAGGTCCTCCCACTCTTCAGCTGTGCTGATTCTGTACACGAATTCGTCATTTTCAAGCACCCATTTGTCTGCGGCCATTGTCTCCGACCACTTTGGAAGAAAATGCAGCAAATTTGCGAGCTGAATTTGGATAGATAAATAAATTGGTTTTTTTTTTCCCCCTCTCTCTCGGAAGAACAGAATACTCGCGTTTGGTCGTCCGTAAATACTTCCGAACAAAAAAAAGTACTTTTTGAAAGGGTGGTTATATGTTAATCACAATTTTTGGATGTGTGTTAATCTAATTTTGAGGAGAATGGGGGGTGTTTGTTTGAGATTTTTGGGGGAAGAATTGATTTTTGAATAATAATATGATGGGAAATGTGTAGTTGAAAAAAAAAAGAAAAAATTATTGATGTGATGAAAAATATTATTTTAATGAAAAATGTATGGTTGAAAATGAGAATTGATTTACTGTAAAATTTGAGAATCCCAAACAAACAAGCTCTAGAAATTTTGGAATAGTGATTGACGTGAGAATGTGTAATGGAAAAGTGATAAAAAAATTTTGATTTGTGTGTAATATTATTTTATTAGGAGAATGTGTGGTTGAAATGAAGAATGAGAATGAAAAATTAATGGGTGTCAAATGGGGGCTTACTATTGTATTCATCATGTTGTTGATATATGAATCAAAGCGTTTTCTTAACCAGTCAATTTTTGTGAGGTGTCTTCTCACTCGTGAAACTTTAAATCATGGACGTTAACATTGGACGCTTAATATGTAGTGCACTAAATTAAAATAGAGATTCTATCTCGGTATACCGTAATCATACGACAGAGTAAACAAAGGGTACAAGGAAAAGGTAATGAAACATTTGGAAGTCACCTGCTGATAAAGACATCTTTGTAGCAAACCACTGAGCTCTTCGAAAAGCCCTGCGCCAGTTGCAATGGGTATTTCAGCTTGCTGGCTGCAACTTGCCTGACTACTTGATTCTTGAAAAGAAAACAGTCTATCTCCTTTTGATTGCTTACATGTTAATATCAGATCAATAATAGCTCCAGTAGCAGCAAGACGAACCGAACTTTCTCGTCTAAACATAGCCTTACGCAATACCAAGATGGTATAGTCCTGCATTTTGGAAAGAATAAGAAGACGGGAGAATAAGCAAAGTTAACTCAAGTCGGTTAGATGTATTAACGATATCTCCTTGCATATAACTTGGCACTATAGAATTATTAGGCTGAATAATGAATTGCAGCATTGAGTACCTGAAGAACACGACTGATCTTGATGAGAGGTAATAGAACAGTAACAAGATGAGAGGAAATCTTGTCATGCATGAATGTGAAATAATCCAGCATTTCCTTCAAGTGTGAAACATGATCTAACATTGGGTGTGGGTGAATCAGAACGAGATATCCGAGCAGTCTAGTGGCAAACAAATAAGATCAATAGTACATAATGCAAAGTAAAAGACCTCAACAATGGTAACTAATGGTTACCTTATGACGGGATGGCCTCGTTCAGGCTTTAAAGAAAGAACCCGAAATTTGCATTGCTCGATTATCTGCGTAAAATATAGTTATATCAGACTGTATATGTGTTCTACAAAATTAATAAGTTGAAAAACATGTGAAAAGCAACTGTTCATAAAAAAAAATTCAGACAGGCATTCCTCAAGATTTATATCCTAAAGATATTTCTTCCAGGAAAGCTCTTTTTACCTTTTAATGCTACTTCCCCCATGGAAGGGAAAAAGAGTGACATATTTCATATTAAGCATGCATCCTATACTGAATTACTGACCTCATTTCTTGCCATGTCATGCATTTCAAATAAACTTTTCAGCACCTGAGTAGCCAGCTCCTCAGAACCCATCAGACCATCTGACTTGGACAATTTTTTTTGGTTTCCTTCTTCCACTCCTTCTAGTAATCCAAATCCAAATTGAACAATGCTCGGTACAATGTGCTCTCTTCCATAATGGCTCTCATTAACCTACAAAACAAGGACAGAGAGAAGACAGAAAAAAGAGAGATGATCTAGACATCTAGTTAGACAAAACAAATATATAACACGGATTGCTGTGCTTTACTCAAGTTATCAGACAAAGTGGACAATCACCTAATGCCCAGAATGATGCAGAACCCTATGGCAGACACTGCCTAAGATCATCATTCACCATCTATTTGATTCATAATCCCCTTGAAATCATATTAATCATACTTTTTGTACACACCGAGTGGGAATTCATAACATCCAGGTTGAAGAAAGAGTTTTGTTTTGAAGTTCCAAACAATGAGGACCAAGGAAATTGTGCATTAACATTACATATTTGTTGATCAACTTTCTCAAAAATAATTGTAAGTATGACATTATATATTTTTTATGCACAGTGTAGTAGATTTACATATCAAGGGAATATCAATATTAACACAGTGGCCGATGCAGTATAAAAGGAAGGTAAGCTTACAGCTTTAAGCACGGCCTTCTCTATAACTCTGGCATTCTGCAGATATTCTTCCTTCAGTTCATCTGATAGCCATTTGCAGACTCTAAACAAAAGGATGGATTGATAAACAAATCTTACAGGATTTGGAATGAAATTGATAAAAGAAACAAGAAAACCATCGTCCCCATTAATCTGCAGCTGCGGTAGTTAATATTGGATAATTGCACGAAGAAAATAATAGCTGACATGGATCGCCAACGGCTACGAAAAATGGTAAATGTCTACAACATAAGTTTCACAATGCCTTCCCATTGCTACTTCAAATGTCCAAAAAAGGAAAATGTCTTGAACACATTTAATCGCGTATGATGATGCTAGTAAAACTGATATTGGCTTGTAAATTGAAATCATTGCACATTTCAAATCTTCTCATATATAAATCAGGCTCAATTAAGCACGAATGCAATGATAAGCATCCTCATAATTTAAGCCAAAGATAAAATCAACAGAATAAGTATGCAGTCATATCTTCCAGAAAATTTATGCCGCGCGCAAAATCAACAGCACAAGTCTCTTTCTCTAAGTACAAAATATGCAATAATAATCTTTCTTGTAACTGGTAGAAGCACAAAATCAAAACAGAATAAATCAAGCATGAGGAGGCTGATCAAAAAATACAAAATATAAATATAAAATAAAACAAGATAATGGCATATTAATTAAAGGCCATAACAACATACTGCTTACTTTGCGAAGTTGTAATCTTTATAAGCATTAAACAATGCAGTTCTGAGAACTCCAATAGCACTCTCACTGAACCTCCTAATTCTAGCGACCGACAGCAAAAGGGCAATGGTAAAATGATTCAGAGCCCGAGAATCCGACCTCACCAGCCCCAAAACCTCCTGTCCCAACGAAGGATCCTGCTTTACTGCAAAATTTACATGCAGCAAAACAGTCCCCTCCACTTGCCTCATGATTGAACCACCCTTGATTTTACCACCAAAATAAGAAGCAATCCCTTCAATCACCTCCTTTTTACCGAAACCTTTTGAGGCCAACACCAATAATTGGTAAACCAGCCCCGGCAAATCCTGCATTTCGATGTTGTTTTGCATTCCATTAAAAACTTTTTCCAAAAAATCCCTTTTTCTCCCTTTATCGATACATGAAAAATCGCGGATTATTTCCACCAATTTCACCAACACAACCTTGCTCCACTCACAATTAAGCAAACCATCAATCACCGAGTTTATGTACTCAATGGGCTTCTCGATTTCATTGGAGATTCTGACTAATTCAAGACACTTTGGGAGGAGAACTAGGACATGGGCATCTTCAAAATCCTTGACATCATGAAGATACATGATGATTAAATCAATAGTTTCGGGAATTTTCGTAATGTCAATTGCATCAAGGTGTACGGCGAAGAGCTGGAGAGTGGAGAGAGAGTGGTGATCGTGCGGGATTTTGCGGGAAATGAAGAGGGGAAGATAAGATAGGAGGAGGGAGGGGAGGAGGGACGAGAGGACGGAGGGGTGGTGGGAGATCAGAGAAAAGAGGGCGGAAATATATTCGGCCACGGCAGAAGACGAATTAACAGAGGCGGCGCGTGAATCGAGGTAGGAGAGGAGAGTAGGGTGGGAGGACTCGGAGAGAAGAAATGGCGGGAGGCGGACAGGTGTAGATTGGGAGGAGATAGGGCGGTGATGCTGTTGGGCTAGCTGGACTAATTCTACATCCGTCAGCGGCGGCGGTTGTGGTTGTGGAGGGTGGTTGTTGGCGGTGGCGCTAGACATCGTAGCATTTGTTTACTTTTTGCGGTGAATTGGAAGGTTTGATTTCTATTTTATAGTTCATTTTGGGCGGGAAAAGTTGGGAGAAATATTTGCAAAAACTCAATATACTTTTTATTTTATTTTATTGAAGAGAACTTTTATTATAACGAAACACAGTGAAATAAAATCGGAAATACAATCGACTCATTTCCGAATGACCGTGGAATTAGTAGCAAAGGAAGCAAGCGGGTTGGTTATCATATTCCTATTTATAAATAAAATAAAACAAACAACTTCCTTCCTCATTGACAAATACTAAAATATTAAAAATCATCGATTACCAAAAAATTACCAGATTGAGGTGTTGGAGAGAATCTAGTCATCTACCTCAAGCACCCCAATCTTGAGCCACGAGATCTCGAAATATCAAACTTTCTCGAAGTGCAAGTGCCTCGACGTACCTACGGAAAAATTCGATATACTTTTATTCATCAATAGAAAATTTTAAACTTTTCTTTTCCAATAAAGTAATAAATCCACGTCGTTTTCATTGATAGTCAATATTTATTTTTACCACTCAAGTTAGATTTTGATATATTGATTTAGGAAAATGCTATTGGTACCTTTTACATTACCTGTTCCTTTACACGGTTAGGTGGCAAAGCTAATTTTTTNCATTACCTGTTCCTTTACACGGTTAGGTGGCAAAGCTAATTTTTTTTTTTAAAAAAAGGACAAAAACAGGCCACTTGCCGGCGGGTTCTAAAATTGAAAAAACAAAAGAAACGAGACGGAGCCAAACATTCCCGCGAAGAGATTGAAACCTTTCTCCCATTTTGAAGCAATATGCTCGAAATCGAGTCGGCCATCATCAACAGTGGACCTCCGGTTGAAGAAGCTTTCTTTTTTTCGACTTCTTTACGGGCTGTCTTCAAGAGTGAACCTCAGTGAAAGAAGCTTTGGCCGTCGCCGTCTTCAGCTTTGCTCACCGGAAAACATGATGGACAACAATGGTATTTCCCGTCATCAATTTATTGTCAACTAAATTGGACGTGCTTTAAAACCCAATGAAATAAAAATGCAGTCAAAGATACTAAAATTAAATTCATCATATGTGCATTTTGGTCCTTATACTGAAATTAAGAAGTCGGGGCAGTGAACTTTCCTTATTATTTCCTTGTGCAACTATTTTGAGGAGTTATAAGAGGTAGCATGTTTGATTGTGTGTAAAAGTATATGGAACTACTTTTTTTTTTATAGAACCTTTCCGGATTTATTATCTATAAAAGTAATTTTAGGCACTGCTTTGACAGTTTGACATCTTTCGATGTCGAGGAAAAATGAGAGAGAAATGGATCACTTAAAATTGTGCTCACAAAATTCATTTATATCAATTCATTGTTGTAGACAAACTCTTAATTGTTTTAATACATGCAAGGTAAATTCGGAAGAGGTGGATGATCTCATTCTGTTGGGTTCGAAAATGACATAAATTTGGAAAGTGTCAACTTCGTGGACAGTGTAGGTGTAGACGGTGGGAATGTAGTAGTAGACGGTGTAGGAGTAGATGGTGGGAATATAGGAGTCGACAGTGTGATTGTGCCGAAGGTGGGTATGAAGTTCAACGATAAAAAAGAACTGTATAATTTTTATAAAAGATATGCTTACAACATGAAATTTCCAATTAAGAAAAGAAATTCGCAAAAAGATGATAATGGAATTGTGAGATACGTTGTGTATACATGTAGCCGTGAAGGTGGAAGATGTCGTGCCACAAGCGGTACTCTGAAACCGCAGCTTACCATTCAGATAGGCTGCAAAGCCAGGATGACTGCATTTGCTGATGCATGTGGAACGTGGTGAATTAACATAGTCGATCTCGTTCACAATCATAAAACAAGTCTTTCGAAATCTAGGTTGTATCATTGCAATCGAGAATTGAGTGCCCATGTTAAACGACGGCTTGAAGTGAGTGATATGGGTGAGATTTCGTTGCACAAAAGTTTCAATTCTGCAGTCGTAGAGGCAGGAGGGTATGAGAATAAGACTTGCGTGGAAAAATACTGTCGAAACTATGTTGAACAAGTAAGGCAGTTACGGCTTGGAGAAGGAGATGTCGCAACAATACAAGTCTATTTTTCGAACATGCAAGCAAGATGCTCAGGTTTTTACTTCAATATGGATTTAGATGAAGAGTTACATTTGAAGACTATTTTCTGGGCCGACAATAGGAGTAGGCAAGCATATAAGGAGTTCGGCGATATTGTAACATTTGATACCACGTACCTAACTAATAAATATGACATGCCGCTTGTTCCTTTTGTTGGAGTTAATTATCATGGACAATCTATATTCTTGGGTTGTGGGTTGGTGTCGAATGAAAATACCGAAATATTTGTATGGCTTTTCAGGACTTGGTTTCAGTGTATGCATGGCCAAGCTCCTATTGGGATTATTATCGATCAAGACAAGACCGTGCAGAATGCCATTCAGATCGTGTTTCCTAACATGAAACACAGATGGTGTTTATGGCACATATTGAAGAAGTTTCCAGAGAAGTTTGGATACCACGTCGATAAGGACGAGATATTTTCTGCTATACACGTGCTGGTATATGATTCTCAAACTGTTAACGAGTTTGAAGAGGGTTGGAGAGCGACGATACACAAATATGAGTTACATGATAATGATTGGTTATCAGGAATGTTTGCAAACAGAAATCGATGGGTACCTTGCTATTTAAAAAGCAGCTTCTAGGCGAGAATGTCAATAACTTAGCGAAGTGAGAGTATGAATGCATTCTTCGATGGTTACGTGCACTTAAAGTTGCCGCTAAAACAATGTTGAACAATACGATAGAGCATTACAAAGTAAGGTAGATAAGGAGTTTCAGGCATACTTTAAATCAGATTCACAAATGGTACCCACTGCAACGAGGTACGAGTTGGAGAAGTAGTTTCAGAAAGTTTATACATTTACAAAATTTCGGGAAGTTCAGGAGGAATTCATTGGAAAGGTTTATTCCAACCTTATATCTTCATCGGAGGACTATTCAGGGACAACCTATGAGGTATTGGAGGATGTCGTACTTGAACATCGAGTGAAGAAACAGAAGTTTCTCGTGACATTTGACAGATAGCGATGTGAAATTGTTTGCAGTTGCCGTTTGTTCGAGTTCCAAGGTATAATTTGCAGGCATGCGATCGCTGTACTAATCCGTAATAATGTCACTGCATTGCCGGACACCTATATATTACAGAGATGGAGACAAGATGTGTGTAGAGCCCACACCAAGTTCGCAGTGAATTACGATGGTTTGAGTAGCACCCCTGCCCAGTTGAGATATAACAAAATATGTCAGACATTTGCTTTACACGTGGACATGGCTATATGGAATGACGATCAAACCGATGTACTAGAGTGGATAGAATTAAAAAAAACAATCATTTGAGACGATGAGGTCAATTGGTGGAAGTAACGAGGTGTCCCAGCATGTATTTCAGCTTGCATCGGATGGTGGAGTATCGCAACATTACAGCAACGTAAGTATATAGGATCCTAAATGCTCGAAGAGAAAAGGCGGGTCAAAGAAGCTTCGAAACAAAAGACGGTTGGAAGCAACATCGAGTAAAGCTAAAGTAATGACTGATTTGTAAATTGTAATTTTGTTTGGTTCATGATGTCCTATTTTTAAAATGTAATTTAACCCTATTATATGTTGATTATGTAGTCCCGTCCTACGTCATCAAAGGGAAGGGGACGGAAGACAAGCACAAGTACACCGAGAGAGGTTGCACTGAACTTCAATGCACATGCTCAATGTATGTGTTAAGACTAATTAGAGGTAGCCTCACTGGGTTTTTGTAGCCTGAACTCGAGCTTTGAAAATTAGTGTTTCATATTTGGACTTTTTGTGAAGTAAAGATCCCCTAAAATCAGTTTTCCATTTTAGGATTTCAAGAATTTTGGACATTACCTTGATTAAGTGTTTCTTAGTTGTTGTTCATTGTAATTGAGTTACACATATCATTTCATGTGTTGTTGTTCATTGTAATTTATTGTTGTTGTAGGATGGAGTCCAATTTACTTCCATCATATGAAGGAGGCGAAGACAGTTTTGGAAAAACAACAGGAAAAAGCAATGGACAGTCGAGCAATGGATGATCAATGGATAGTCCCAGCATGTATTTTGGCATGAAAACCTTCTTTACTGGAGTCATTTTATGGAGCAAACTGGGTTGTATAACAATGTATTATAAAGTGAACTTCAGTTGATTACTGGGTTGTATGCTACTAAACTCACCTTGTATAACAATGTATTACCACTTTTGGCATTTATGCATCATTGGCTTCAATCATATATATCAGTTTTCGTTTATGAGGTTGTTCATATATTATTGTTGCACATAGTTTGAAAGAACACAAGGAAATGAAGATGCTAGGCAGAGTTTTTAAATGCAAACACTATGCCCCTGTCTGGGCGCACTTAAATTTTGGCAATAAGTGATTTTTAGACCATTGATGAGTGTAACGATCAATTTTTCACGAAATGGACTGAATTCAATGTCAGACACTTTTTCCCTTTATGCCCTTCCATTTGAATTTCCAGCATACAGGTTGCAATAATTAGAGGGTAAATATGACTTTTGGACATGTTGCTTTGCATTGAAGGACAAAGACTACATCACGTGGGCCCGGCTAAAATGATAGGAAATTTGATTTTGGATTCTCCACAATCACGCAGTTCAGGCACCCAAGTGAACCCCTATTACAGTCATCTAAATGTGACATTCATAGCAACACCACATGACACCAACTACACAGGACACCAACTACACATGACAGCAACATCCTTAGCAACATCCTACTAATCTTCTATTATAGTCACCCAAGTGGAACACCAACATCACTACACATGACCCATAACACATAACAGAACACGACACACAACAAAACACCAGCTACACATCGCAGTGGCCGGTCCCTTCCATTTCACGGTCAATTGAATCTCCAATTTATCT